TCAAACGCAGAGATTGAACCATATGTTTTAAAAATCAAATGTAGAGGTCGAACCCTGGGTTTAAAAAATCAAACACAGAGATCGAACACTGTGTTTGAAAAATCAAACGCAAAGGTCAAACCTTGCGTTTCAAAAAATGAACGTAGAGGTCGAACCCTACATTTCAAAAATCAAATGCAGAGGTCGAGTCTTGCATTTCAAATTCCAAACACAGAGGTCCACCTCTGCGTTATAATAACAGAATGGGTTTTGCTCGTTGTTCAAAGCTTAGAACTTGTCGAAACAAGTTTTACAGTCCTGAAGTTCAACACTTACCACTGACAAAGGGAATTTGTGGCGGCCCGATGATGCACCCTGAGCCGCAGCAACGATTGCCTTGGATCTCAAAACGATCTTCTTCCTTAGAGCCATTTTAATCTCTTCAGAGAAGATGAGCAGTTCGCCGGAGAAGATGAACATGATTCCTGTTGAGTTTGCTGAAGAAGAACAGAAAAGTCGAAGGACTTTGGACGTGATCCTGGTGGTCTATTTATTGACAGCTGTGAGCTGTCAAATTGGGACAGGATTTTAGGTAAAAATCCCGCCCAAAACGTAACCTTTGTATTTACGATTAGAGTTGGTTGAACTTCTGAATACAAAGTTTATCCTTGCATTTCAAATATCAAACGCAGGGTCCTACCCAACTCTTGTAGCTGCGCCTCACATATTCATTAATGTCTACAAGAACAACCTTGCTAGTGTTGTTGACACTGAAACCACTTTCCGACAAACTGAAAGGGTAAAGGAGTATCTCAAGGATCCAAACCAGACTGTTGTTGCTATTGCCCCTGTTACAGCTACAGAGAATATTGCTGCTCTTGCTGTCAAGGGAGATTCCAAGGAAGATTCTAAGCAAGATTTCAAGCAGAACTGCGACATACATACCCTCATATAGGTCTTGTTCAGCTAAATTTCTGCAACCAAATTCATGATGTTTCCGAAACAGACATAGTGAACAATCATTCATATGGGATCCAAAGCATTCCAAAAATTCATTCCAGTCAACTGCGAACTTTCAAAAATTTTGGAGGGGGTTCTGTAGGCTGTCTAAAAAATTACCATAGATAACTAATCCCCATTGAATACCAGCAATGGAAGTTACAACCTGACGACTTTCATATCAACAACTTAGCGACGGGAGTTACAATCAGACGACTTTCACGTTAACAAACAAAGGCTACAATAGGAAGATTTTCACGTAGACCGAGAAAGGTTATAATTTGATGACCTTCATGATAACCGATGAAATCTCTAATTTAACAGTCTTCACAATTAACAGCGGGAGTTACAATCTGACGACTTTCATATTACAAGGAGATCAAGCGAATATTACAAACATAATAGTCTTTGCAACGCTTCGATAAAAGAGATTACAAATTAACAATCTCTTCAATTTAAAATGTAGAGTTCACCTCTGCGTTCCGGATTTAAAACACGGTGCGACCATTGTGTTTCTAGCCATCAGCGCAGAGATCAACTCTACGTCCTAGTCTTTAGATGAAGAGTCCATGCTAGAATGCTAGATCAGTGTTTGACTCGTTCAAACACACCTGAACGGTTCTAGAACTATTTTTGCACGATTTGAGGGGATCACTCGCCCACTTAGGAGAAAATTAAGGGGGCGGTTAAACCCTTTAATTCCCTATAAATACCTCAAAACTCAACAGAGTTTAGGATCAGCTTTTTGCATCAAAAAAAATTATGTAACGAGAAGATCGACATTTTGTGTTCTTGGAGATCTTGGAGCATCCTTCATTAATAGAGATCTTGGATCTCATCCATGGCTTATAACCGATTTTCGGTTCAAATTAACTCTTTCAAAGAGTTTAAACTCGTTCTGAGTTCATTAACTCATTAAGAGTTTCACACTTACCACGCAAGTTCTCCTCAACGTCAACTGAGAGGAAGATATCATGTTCCACGAGGTGAAGTGTTCAGATTGTCAACGGGATATAAGGATATGAACTCCCATCGACACTAAGAAAAACACAGGTTAAACAAAGGGAAGGGTCTCCGTCGATCTCTTCTCTCTTTTGTAAATCGGGAAACCGATTGAGAGGAATTGTAATTTTTTTCTAAGTTGTTAGAGAGAGATTGCATTGAGAGAATTGTAATTCATTTTTTTCTAAGTCTGTTAGAGAGAATAATACAAATTTAATTTTTAATTTTCTTCTTTCAATTTTGCCACGAAACGCATGGCTATAAAAAACTATTCCAAATATAAGGGTAAGCAATTTTCTCAGTATTTTTTCTCCATTCCGCTGCGTTTTCTCATATTCTCACTCAAATACCTAGCTGACTTGATCGTTGGAGGTACAATGGGGAAACCAGTCCCCGTCCTCTTATAAGTTGTCACACGTCTAGGGACGAACAACCCAACTCCAAATCGGATATTTGGAAAAGCGATCGGCCCCCATATCAACCTATTCCCTACTATCTTCCCTTTCTTGTGTGATTAAACCATCAACAACGGTGTTATTAAGGTTCAAAAAATTTACTTCATCTTGAATAGTGGATAAAAGGTCAAAAATGTTACTGTAGTATATAGACTATGTTTAAGACCCAAACTTACACTGTAGCATGATCAATGCTAAAAAAATTAGTGCATCCCATATAGTAGATCTATGATTGAAAAATAATATTGTAGTATGAACAATGAAGTTAATTTTTCGCATCACATTGTAGCAAGGATAGTGTTATTGTGCCATGAACAATGACTTTGAGGATTTGCTTTTAAGTTAGAAAGTAATAGATACCTAAACCACCTAGAAACTTAGTTTTCGTTCCAATTAATTATTTGACCTCACTTTCCTCCTAAATTTTCCCTAAAATTTCAACAATGCCCTAACCTATTCTCACGTGTAATGCATGTGCTCCCGATCCCTAACCTTATCAAAGTCTAAAAGGTGAGAACATTGTTGGGATTTTAGGAAAACTTTAGGAGGAAAGTGGAATTAGGTAGTTGATTAGAACAAAAACTAACTTTGTAAGTGGTTTAGATATAAATTAGAAGTATGAAGTGGTTTGTGCAAAATGACATTAATGCTATGTTTGGGAGTTCACTAAGAGAAGTGAAGGAAAGGAAAGGTAATATAGGGAAAGGAAAGGTAAGGAAGTGGAGGGAAAATATAATGGGAGTTTTGTAAGGGGAATGGAGGTGAATTTAAATTTTGTTGTTTCAGAGTTCTAATTATGAGAAGGAAATGGAAGTAAATGAATCTTAGCCATTGATTCATTATAATAGAGGGTTAACATGTCTCTTTCATTATGAAATTTTACTTTCCTTCTATTCCCCTCCTCTACCCTACAATTTGGAGGAGAACAAAACTAAACACTTTCCCCCGCTTTCCCTCCCTTACCCCTTCTAAAAAACTCCAAAACAGAGTAACTCTTTTTTTCCCTTCCCGAAGCCCCCATTACCCTCCATCCAAACATAATGTAAATATAAGAGCATCTCCAGCAGCTTCCCCATTTCTCACTTTTGGAGAATTTAGTTAGGTTTTTGGCCCAACAGATTCCCCATCTCATTCCCCAAAATAGGGATGGAGGAGAAAAAATGGGGAAGCTTCCCCAAATCTGCAGCATTCTCCAAATTTTTGGAGGAAAAAATGGATTCTTCAAAATGGGGAAGCTGTTGGAGTTGGTGTAAAAATTAGTTGGAGAATATGACTTTTGCTTCCCTATTTTGGAGAAAATTTTGGAGAAACTGTTGGAGATGCTCTAAGTATTGAGATGGTTTCCAAAGAAAAAACCCTTTTAGCAATAGGCGCTCTCCGATTTTGAATTTTTAATTTCTCCATCAACATTAAGATATTAAATTCCGAATATATCAAATTACAAAGTGCGTCTTTTAAAAAAAATGCTAATTTGATAATTTAGTCGCAGCATCCATTAATCCATTAATGTTGCCGTGTGTACTACTAAAAATACTAATTTGGTAATTTAGTCTTTCTACTTTACCACTGATCAAATGAAAATATTTGTAACTTTGATGCATTTTACTGAAAATTTTCAGCTTCGTTTATGACTCATTTGCTTCTCCATAGCACTTCATCTTTTAATCCGAGTCCCTTTGTCAGTGCACTGCAAAATCAGCGCACTCTCTCTGTTATCTCATGTAAGAGTTTTCACATCAAATTCAATCATGGGTCAATTAAAGGCAGCATCTTGATACTTGCAATTCATTTCTCAGAGTGAACAATTTTTCAAAACAGCCAATTTAATTCTTTTATTTATAAAATCGACCGATTTTTTTTATTTATCAAAATCGACCAGTTTTTTACCACGTCAGTCTAATCACCTTCCTAAATAGTCGGGTTGTCAACCCCGACTATTTAGAAGTACGTTAAACCCCTATTAGAAGTCTTAAACCCTAAAATTTTATGTCCTAAATAGTCTGAGTAGGCAACCCTGACTATTCAGGGCGGTGATTAGGCTGACGTGGCAAAAAACGGGTCGGTTTTAATAAATAAATAAAAATCGATCAATTTTAAAAATAAAAAAATAAAATAGGACTGTTTTGAAAATTTGTTCTTCTCACAGCTCAAAAGAGCTTCAGACCTTTTCCTTGTATTTTCCCAGTATGGGCCTGAGTTTGAGCATCTCTGAATTCTTCCAGCTTTTCCTGGATACCTACTTTCTTTTTCTGTTTGCTTTCCAGAAATTATAACAGCTTTATATCCAACCCCTTTGTAAGGTAGTGAACCACATATCATTGGAGTCAAGAATGAGAATCTCTTTGTTCATCCGAGTTGAAACTTGCATCTTAGCTTAGTAAGGCTCTATTGAAATGGAAACAACCTTCATTGATACAGGAAAAAGGGCAAAAGGATAAATGCCACGGCTTTGAATTGATTGCAAGCCTCAAATTAACCACAGCAATACACTTTGCAAAGCCGTTTCATTCATACAACAGTATTTTGACTCAAAATTCAAAAATGCGTTCAAAAATTGAAGGGTGGTAGCCTCTAAAATTACAGAGCAAACTTCAAACAGTACCAACAAGCGAGAGAACGAAAAGAGAAACACATCCGTACTGCTCTCTTCAACAATCAGAAAGAGGAGTATGTTGAACTCTCTCAAGACGCTCGGCATACGAACAAAAAACCATTATTTACAGTGTGATAACAGAGTTCATTAACAAAATATGCGTAACATCACATTGAACTCAAAAGGCAATCTAGAAATCAACCCAACAAAGGTCAACCAAAAAACAAAGAAACAAAAGAAGCCATCGAGAGGCAAGATCAAACAAATGCAGCAAGTGCAGTTGATTGCAAAAACATTAGCTCCACGCTTCTCTCGTCTCCCTAAAGCTTTTCTCTATTATTTTTCCCCCCTGGACTTGAATCTCCTTGTTCTTCTGGAAATGCTTCAGACCTAGCTCACACTGTTTCATGCTAAGCAGTCTTGCGTCGTAGTAGCCCACTAGTTGAGGAGATTTCGGATTGAAATCTCGGTGCTGCATTGAGAGTTGAATAGGGTAATCAAAAGATAATTAATAGTATCTAAATTATGTGTTAGTGTTGACCCAACTTCATAAAGTCACATTGGAGCTTGGCTCTAACTATACAGTAGGTACTTCTTAAACTTGTGATTACCATCTAACCAACTTCGAACTAAGTTAAAACTCTTTTTAACTTCAGGGTTCATCATCACCTTGAGAAAATAGTATGGACCTTAAACTACGTCATTTGGATGTATGCCCATAGTTAAGTTCTATGAAGAATAACTTTTCGTTCTCTAAATACAGTAGAAGGCTGTTGCCAACGACGCGACATTAAAAGAGTTGAGGGAGGACTGACTTACAAAGTCCATTGGCATCAGAGGTCCTCATAATTCTAAGTCTTTTGACAGTATCCAAGAACATCCTGTTCAAAAGAAAATTTAACCACACAATTAGACAACAAATCAACTATTGACAAACATCATATTGTAGAAAACTTGCAATGCAAAATTACAGACAACCAACTAAACAGAGCTACAAACTATAAAAACAGGCAGAGTAATCTTAACAACTAATCAGCTGTCATTTACTGAGATTTGAAGATCTAAATAAGATCGAGCAATTAGATTACTAGTTCGCAAAACCAACAACTTTAGTTAAAGTTGCTTGGTTTTGTAAACACCTCTCTACAGTCTCTTGAGTTGTTCCCACCCCATTAGATGTTTTCGATCTTAACAATACCAACGCATACAAGAGCTGAAGGGTTACCTCCAAGTCTATAGCCTACAAGTATTTGTGTTGAGCATTAGATAAATGCAAATCATCCATAAATTTGACTTGTCATCACAAATGCATCCAAATAAACTATTGCTAATAATAGCACAATCAGCATAAATAAGTTAAATATGGATATCATACCCCCATGGAACGTCCCCAACTAGCATCCAATCCCCGTCTTTATCTTCATAAGTCAATGCAAATTCAGACGAGCCACCCAACAACTTTGATGTCTTTGCACTATCTATCATCGTCAAAATCAAACAATCACAAACAATAAATTCACATCCAATAAACTACAAGAGAACGAGTAAGAAAAGCGTACTTGCCGACGAGCTAAGTCCAATGGTGGGCTTGTGGAACATGATCTCGAGAGACAAAGCGAGTGCTTTGTAGGATTGATGGGCATTGAGATCGACCTTTCGACCAATTGGATCTCCATCCATGTTCACTTTCACGAATCGGGTAGCGCCCGCATTTTTAAGTTTATTTTCTTGGTTAGTTGAGTTGATGTATTCAGTTTTGTTGTTCAAGTTTTGATTGTTGCTCTTCTCGTTGGTTGTGGCTTCTGAGTCTGAGGCGTTGTCTTTCGCTTGGTTGACCAAGCTGTTTATTCTGAAAGCTCTGATGGGAGGCCAGCCTACCACCACTTGACTGTTCACAAAAATGAATAATTATATTAGCCACGAAGGCTAGAATGGAAAAATATGCCAAAAGTATTAAAATGAAAAAATCACAAGAAATTCTAGACAACAACGAAAATAGTCGAGAAGATATTTGTACAAGAATGTTTTAGTAAGAGCCCATATATCTCAATAATAGTAAGGCCACTGTTTCCTTCACTATAACTTACTTGGAAATTAACAGAAAAGGAATAAAACTATTAACAAAAGAATACAAAAAAATGAAAAATCACAAGAAATTCAAAACAAGTAGAGGAGAGGATTTGTACAAAAAAAATGCCTTTAGTAATAGTCCATATATCTCAATCACAGTAGGCTACTGATTCCTTGAATTTCCCCAAATTGTTGGTTCATAACAAACGTTACAAAGTTACTTGGAAATTTAACAGAAGAACGAAGAACTTAATAGCTCCTTGGAAGGAATGATTGTTAATAAATATTAATAACAATAAACAACAGTTTATATGACCAGAAAAAAAAAAACTCTACCAATGCAGAGTTGTATCTTTAGCATAATAATAGAAAGAAAACAAGAAACATACAAATACAAGGATCAAATAAGATGAACACATAGACCCATTAACAAAAACAACAGAAATCTCTTAAATCCTCAGAAAAACATAATCACAGCAAAATGAAGCAAAATCCCAAAATTATCAGTAAACTAAAAGAAACCCACAAAGACTTCACCTTTGCGGCTTAGCTACCTCCGACGACGAAACCGACGACGAAGAGGTCACAGGCGACGCACGTGACCCGCACGCCGCCGGAAAATCCTTGGCAGTCAGAATCCGTCGACAACCTCCGCCGCCAAAATCCCCCCAAGTTCCCGCCTTTTTCTTATCTCCGGTGACCCTTTTAGCCCCCAAGCTCAGCCCAAGCTCCAGCTCCTCCTCATCCGGTGATGGTGGCGATTCTTCGTCATTTTCCATCATTTTTTTATTTTTATGTTTTGTGGGTCGGTTTCTCTCTCTTGTTTCTCTCACTGGAGAGTGGAATTTGGATGCTTATAAAATGGAGGAAGGAGGGGGGGACGCGAGTATTTTTGTGGGGTTTGGGGAATCGTGAGAAGGAGAAGATCACGTGAGGAGCGCGTGAGTTCGAGAGGGTAGGGACTGACACGTGTCGAGTGGTGGTGGTTTTTTATTGAAAGCCTGTCAAAGTATCATTTTTTGGCGGGCTTTAAGCAAAAACGCCTCTAAAAAAGAGGATTTTGCTTGAAAGCCTGTCAAAAAGTAACACTTTTAACAAGCTTTTAACAGTAACTTTCTCTCAAAAACAGGGAACCAAACAGCCCCTTAGTGGCGGGCAACGGGTTTGTAGTCTGTCGACCCGGGTTCGATTGCTGTCTAGTGCTGTGTTGTGATTGGCGGGAGCTGTGGGGCCCGAAATATTTTGTCTTTGTTTTGTTTTTCCGCTTGTTTTTGAGACTCACTATACAGTCACGCCTTTTTTTTCTAGTGCACTGGAATTTTGCACATAGCTCCTGAACCTTTAGCTTATTTGACTGTTCGAACTTTCAGTTTGGCGGATATTCTTCTCGTGTATTGTTCTCGTTTATTGCCTATTTTAGATTTATATTGTTCTCGTTTATGGCCTATTTTAGATTGATGAATAAAGTCATACATCTCGATTGGTGCGTGCAAAAGAACTGGTATAGATATAAAATAAAATATATTTATCGTTACTTCTCAATGACAAAAAGAGAGAGTTTTGTTGACTATATTATTATCATTTTTCTAACAAACAGTTGAAGACCCAACATCAAGTTTCATGAACTGAGGAAGCTCTCGCCCCAATTTTGACTCAAGTTCCCTCTTCTGATGGGCACAACGACTCTAAAAAAAAGATCGAAGTAAAGTTAATAGGTTTAATTAATTCCTCGGTCGCATTGACTCTATTCCCTCGCTCGGACCCACTTCTCAATTAGTCGCCGTATAAAAAGTTGTTCCCATTAATTAAAGAAAAATTCTTTAAGGACCCAAAATATGGGACCAATAGAGGGGACAAGTGAGGTGTCCCCCTCCTATTGGATAATGAGTTGGTCATCATTAATGATGGCTAACTCATTATCCAATAGGAAGGGGACACCTCACTTGTCCCCTTTATTGGTCTCATATTTTGGGTCCCTGTAGCAAAGCTCTTAATCAAATGAACAAACAGTTGAAGACCCAACATCAAGTTTCATGAACTGAGGAAGCTCTCGCCCCAATTTTGACTCAAGTTCCCTCTTCTGATGGGCACAACGACTCTAAAAAAAAGATCGAAGTAAAGTTAATAGGTTTAATTAATTCCTCGGTCGCATTGACTCTATTCCCTCGCTCGGACCCACTTCTCAATTAGTCGCCGTATAAAAAGTTGTTCCCATTAATTAAAGAAAAATTCTTTAAGGACCCAAAATATGGGACCAATAGAGGGGACAAGTGAGGTGTCCCCCTCCTATTGGATAATGAGTTGGTCATCATTAATGATGGCTAACTCATTATCCAATAGGAAGGGGACACCTCACTTGTCCCCTTTATTGGTCTCATATTTTGGGTCCCTGTAGCAAAGCTCTTAATCAAATGGTGTTTCTATTAGTTTTTAGAGGAAAATTTACTCAATGACCCAAAATATGGGACGAATAGAGGAGACAAGTGAGGTGTCTCCCACCTATTGGATAATGAGTTGGCCATCATTAATGATAGTCAACTCATTATCCAATAGGAGGAAGACACATCACTTGTCCCCTCTATTGGTCTCATATTTTGGGTTCCTGTAGCAAAGCTCTTTTTAGAGATTAGCTTGGCGATCCCTACTACTGACACGTGTGGAAGAAAATCTTGCTCAAATTGAAGCCTGATGCGTCGTTTGTTTTTGGGTATCCTGAGGACTTGGTGAACAAGCAAGTGTAGATGTTCTACTAAATTACTTGGATCTACTCTAAGCATGGTTTATTTTATTCTACCTTACCCGGGTTTTTTTTTAATTCGAATAAGTTGGAATGGTTGTTGGGGGCAACAATTTTATAATCTGCTAATTATCTTGTTAATTAAAATAAAGACGTAAATATGTAATTTATATACAATGTATTTATTAAACGGGTTGGGTGAACTTACATATCCCGTCAGAATCTACAATATATCCTTATCCACGTGTCTAAACTTACGACGCGTTTGTTTCGTGTTTTTTTTTTCACTGTGTGACTGACATGTGATATTAAGGCAAAAAATTCATGGGTCTGCTTTTGGATTTTGATGTATGCAATCAAAGTCAATCCTTGTCTTAATAAGATTTAAGACATTCAACATGGCTAATGAAGTAAATTCTAGGTATTGTATATCTAGATAAATGTAGAATTTTGTTAATTAGCCCGCCTACATCTTTAGGGTATAAACTATTCAGACCAAGACTATATAGGCAAATCATTTCAATTTGCAATCGAATGCATTTTCCGTATATGAGTCTTTTCATGAGTAAAGCTTATGGTCAATAGCAACCTGACTTTTCAATGAAGGTTAAAATCATAATCAACAAGGACAATAGGAATAGTATTAAAAAAACTGTAAATTATCGCGGTAACTTGTACCTTCCAATGAAAGAAATTATCGCGGCAATTAGAAATTAAAGAAAATAAAATGTCCCCGAATTCATAAATAGGTGGACAGTGGGGCCAACCTAGAGAACACTACAGCGACAACCCGACAAGGTGGTCCCCGCTCATTGAGCCCCTCCAACACGTGAGATACGGGGGACACGTGAGACCACCATAAATAGAACTAGGGGCCCACACAAGTTGGGATGCAAAATTGGATATCTACACGAGATATGAATACGTACGTATATAGTTGAGTACACAAGACAGATCAGATGGTATCCATTTAAACGTGTACTAAAAAGATGTTAATCTTGAATTATTAGATTATTGAGATTTGTATAGAGTTCTCATTGGCTGATATTTTTTTAGTATGCATTTAACGTCATTGTTAATTTACGGTATATTTTCTCTAGGTGCAACATTGAATCCATGATACTAAATATGTGTACCAAAAAAATATATATAAACTCGTGGACATTTAGACTTTGAGATTTGCGAGCAGAATTTTGTAGTTGGCATCTTTTTAATACACATTTAGATACACCGGCCACTTTTTCAAAAAAAAAAAGATAAAGTGTAAAAATATATACGCTTCATGATAATAGACTTGTCTAAATAAATTCAAATTTCATATCAAAGTTCATCAATCATTCAACATTGCTCCGAAAGATTACAAAAGTTTTATTTTAGATTCGTGTCGTCAAATCAATTTCCGTTAAGAGGCTGTTTGGTTAGCTAAAAATATAAGGAAATCAATTATAAGAATCATATTTCCTATAATAGGCTCTTTTCTTGTGTTTGATTCACTTATTAAAACTAAAAAAAGGATAAAATCAGATGAGTTGTCACGATATTATTGGATAATGTGACACATTTTTAAAGAAATCAATTTTATGAATTTTTTAAGGAAATAGATGGAAATCAACTTTTAATAGCTTTCTTATCTTATTTCCTTTTCTTTGATTATAGGAAATGAACCAAACAGACCCCAATATGATAAACATAGAGGTCAATATCATCACCCCTCTGACTTGAAGCTCGTATATATTTTTCGTATTCGTATACGTATTCTTATCTTAGTAACAGTTGCTGATAGTTAAAAGTTACTGATATTATGTTGTTACTTATTCTAGGGGAAAATGTGTCAAGGCCCCAAAATGAAGAATCTGAGGTAGCCCAGCCCCACCAATTATTTCTGTTACTCTTTAGCCCCAAAAGAGTGTAAAAAGTGTGGCCCAGCACAAAAAGCCCACCTTTATACATATAATGTGTGTATTTTGACAAACCTACCGAAAATGCCCTCTTCTCTCTCCTAGGAAACCGGCTCCTTGACTTCTCAATTCGGTGATCTCTCCCATCGCAGTTAAGGTGAAACGACGGCGAAAAGTGAGGGAAAAAGCACAGGTTCCCTGCATTACAGACCCGCTTCGTCATCATGGGTTATATATTGTCTAATTTTATCTCTCACTCTCTCATTTATGAAATTAGGGGTTTTATCTTCAACTTTCAACAACCCCTTATGCGCTATAAATCCCCTCACTTACTCCTCATAACTATCCTCATAACTTCCAAGCACCCCCAATAGCCATCAATGACTTGATTCACATGGTGTTTTTAGGCGAGAAGACCATATTCTTGATGCTAAGTTCGACAACAAGTTTTTTTGAACTGAAACTTGATGTGTCTGAAAGACTAAAAGCACCTCAATAAGCTTTATCATTGATATATAAATCTGAGAGGCACCACAACCTGAGTTTTTCAGTTGATAATAAAGATGATTTGAAGTGCATGTTGGAGCACAATCGAAATATTGGTTGTACAGAGATTCACATGCAAGCTGTTGTTAATATAGAGTGTTCCACTTCCGAAAAAAAAATCAAAAAGTTATTACTAAAATGTACGTAATTAATGAACTCTTTATAACATTGGGCTTTGTGTGATGTAAACATAGTGATTTCAGGTTTCAAGGCCGTAATTAATGAACTCTTTATAACATTGGGCTTTGTGTGATGTAAACATAGTGATTTCAGGTTTCAAGGCACAGTCGAAAAACATTTTAAGTGTTTTTGGCTTTGTGTGATGTAAACATAGTGATTTCAGGTTTCAAGGCACAGTCGAAAAACATTTTAAGTGTTTTTGTTCTTCAACATTCAAGAACAACTTATGCGCTAAAAATTCCCTTAATTACTCCTCATAACTGTCCTCATAACTTTCAACAACCTCCAACGGCCGCCAAAGGCTTGATGTGCATGGTGTCGTTAGGCGAGAATATTATATTCTTCATGATTTGAAGTGCATGTTGGAGCACAATCAAAATACTGGTTGTACGGAGATTCACATGCAAGATGTTGTTAATATAGAGTGTCATACTTCTGAAAAAAATTAGAAAATTATTATTGAAATGTAAGTAATCAATGAACTCTATTTAAAACTGGGTTTTATGTGA